GATAAAGCGGATGAAGATGGATGAAACATTAACGCTTAAATGTGAATAAAGGAAAGTTAAGAAAAGAAAGAACAACTAAAATGATGATACTTGATCGCAGAGGAGCTAAGATTTATTTCTCCGGGAAGTGATTCTTGGATTTGTTGCATAAAGTTTGATGTCATGTGTGAAACAATCATAAAGTCAGAACGCCGTGTCGTCCGTGTAGAAATGTGATCGAGTTTGTTTCCTGATGGGAACCTTTTGTGATTTGCTCGTATTTCTGTTCAGTGGAACTAAAGCTTCTGTTTGGCTGATTAAACTGAAAGCTGATCAGCATCAGTGTGCGTCGTGTCCCATCAGCACGGCCTTTGTCTGTGAACTAAAGTCCCTGAAATGCTGAGACCAGATGAGGTTTGTGGTGTCGCCTCCGTGTGAGGAGGTTTCTCCGGCTCAAACCACAAAGACGCGCATCTCAAGCTGGAGACTGAGAGGAGATGAAGCGCTCGAACTGCCTTTATTGATGTGACTGTGTGGATATGGTGTGAAGCTCTGAGCGGTCAGGAAGAGAAACTGTTACATAAACAGTCAGTTTCTATTTGCACAGCTTTGAGACTACTCGCCTTTCTACTCAAACTTCAGATGCCCAAAGCAAATTTCTTAAAAAGCTTTAATTATTCAACTTTTCATGTTTTAATTATTGATTTAGTGCCTCGATTATATTTTCTGCAGGTTTTATTTAAATGTAGTATTTCCAGGGCAGTTTCTGATGACTTTTTACATCTGGTGACTGTGGAGACTGTGAGCACAGTGAAGTCTCAGACGATGGGATACTGTTCTCATTGAGGGATGGAGATGATCGGCAACAACTGAGTTTAAACAAGAGGCCCAAAGTGTGCCAAGAAAACCTCCCCCAAACTGGTGCATGCATCCATCCTGTCAGCATCACCATCTAAATGTTGCAGCAGAAATTGAGACACATCGGGAAACTTTTTCCATCTGTTATTGTCCAGTTTTGGTGGGTCTGAGCTGTAGCCTCAGCTTTCTGTTCTTAGCTGACAGCAGTGGTCTTCTGCTGCTGTGGCTCGTCTGCTTTAAGGCTTGAGATGCAGAGATGCTCTTCTACAGTTTGAGTTGGTGTTGCTTCAGCTTAAAGCAGTCTGTCCTCTGACATCATCGTGACACTTTCTCCTGGAGAATTTTTCCTGACCATTATCTGTAAACCTGAGTGTGTAAAATCATCTTTCTTCCTCAGTTTGAACTTCAGCAGGTTGTCTTAACCGCAGGGCTAAATGTGCAGAATTGCTGCCATGTTATTGGTACCTAATAAAGTGGCCAATGAATCTACATCCTGCTTCCTAATGTTATTGTTGGCAAAATCAGATTACATCAAACATGACAAACCGCAGCCCTGACTCTGTTTATCTGACATCAGCAGGTCTCTGTAAAACCTAATGGTTTGCACTGAGCTCCTTTAAACTCCCCGGGCAGGTAAACCAAACACTAACGCCTCCACCTTCCCCTGCAGTGTTCCCCGTGTGACCTCCAGCAGCAGCAGCGGGGCTGCTTCCTCGCTCTCCCCCACCCTCCTCTGCCTCCTCCTGGCTGCAGCACTGGTTCTGCTGGCCTGTCTGGCCTGGGTCTTCGCGGAGCAGCCATGTCACCGCAGCAACACGATGGCCCGTACCTGCCACCTGACACTGACATACGTCAACGGACCCCCGCCTACCTGAGTGCCAGTGGAAAAGCTTTCTTGTGGCTCTTCAGGACAGAGGTTTGCAGCTTGCTGTGAGCAGTTCAAACAGCAATAACTTGAAACAAGACCACAAAAACAAGCAGGTCTTCTGCTAGAAGATGGAAGAAAGTCTGTATACAATGATGCACAGGATGCACCAAATGTTGGAGATCTTCTCACTCTGAAGTCTGACTCGCAGGGACCTCACATTATGTAAAAACTGTAAAGATTATATGGGAGAGGTTTATATATCCACGATGTTCTCAAACTGTGCTAATGTTAAAATGCAGCTTACAAACTGACCTCCCGCCTCACTACATGACTGTATATAATTTTGTCATTTATATCAAATATTTGTAGTATTTTGTACTTCATAGTCCACGTCTGCCCGTGACGGTGCTTTCCTAACTCACTTTGTACAGTGTTGCATGTTTACAGGAAAATGCTTTACTTTGAGTGAACATCAGCGTTTGTGTCCAAGCTCATGACCGAGAGTGACGTTGACATCTTTCTAAACCACTTCAGTCTTTAAAGACTTTAAACGGGGTCGGGTTCTATTTTTTGTGTGTAATAAGACTTTAAACCAGAAGGTGGCGCACTGAGGTAAAGACGTCCCAAAAATAGTCGAGCTAATCCGACTTATTCTGGATTTGTTAGAGTTCATCCTTCAGAAAAGTTAAAAGAAAATAAGATTGAAAAGATGACAGTTTGACGGCAACAATGAAACCTGCTCAACGTGCTGCCACCTTGTGGTGGAATATTTTCATTACAATTTAGAAAAAGTACCTTTTGTTATTTCTAAGGTTTCAGACTTCCGTGAGAATCAAACTGTAGAGCCCATCTTTGGCCCTGTTGGTACCTGACATGATCTCTGTTGATTTCCAAGTTCAGAGCTGTTCTCACACACTGAGACCTGATTACTCAGACCATTTTTGAAGGTGGTCTGGGCAACACTGAAGGACCACCTACACAGCTCAAAGCTCTGCTAGTCTACCGAGCTATGTGGGGCCGGGTTGCAAACCAGGACCCGTGCAGGACTCTGGCATCTGGTCTTTGCAAACGTAAAGAAAATGTAGGGAGAGACATCCTGGAAGAACTGGTCCCCTCATGTTCTTGGAGCTGTGGATGCACATTAATGAGAGGTGTAAACAGGGCCTGTGGAAGTCAACATGGCGTCTTTTTAAACAGAGAGACGAGCTTTGACTGACGGCAATCATGTTCTGCAGAGGTATGTGAAGAAGGGAGCATGTTTTCAGTATGAAGAGCTGTTTGATGCCATGTGTGAGTTCAGCACAGCTTCCTAAATGTTTGAGGAAAAAGTCATTTTCTGTTGCTGTCATGAGCTACATAATTATGAGATTATGTGCTTTTTAAAGCTTTAATGTGCTGGGAAAATAACTGTAAAACTGACGTTTGTATTGGTTGCCTGCCACCTCATACATTTCACTTTTTTTATACAAGAATAATTCTTGATGTGGTGTTGAATATTTGAAAAAAGCCTTTTTGTCCAATGAAATGTCTTTTTTATATATATATATAAATGTGTAAAGATTAATAAAAATTAATTAAATGAAAAAGTGGTATTTTCTGATCTTTGATCAATGACCTCAGTAATTCCTGATCAGTTTCTGGTCAAAGTCCACGTTACTGTCTGCAGTTTAGCTTTGACTGAATCTAAAGAGCCAAACGGGCTTTCCTGACTTTCCTTCCCCCTTTGAGAAGCTTCAGTGGAATTACAGTTTAGGATTTTAAAGTGATGAAGAAAATGTCTCTTTTGGTCACTTTAGTTGGCAGTTAAACGTCCATCTGTCCGTCTAAGCTGTGAGAAAATCACTAGAAGCAGAGATGCCCACACTTCCCTCTTAACAGACACCTTCTTGAGTTCTTCTGAAGGCGATACTGAAGTGTTTCCACGACAGACCTCGGTCTTTCCTCTGGCTTTCCTGCAGTCTCCATCCAAAGAACATCCCAATCATGAGCGGTGGATCCCCTCTGAGCTCCTCCTGAATGAATAAGCTCCTCATCTTATTACTAAAGCTGAACTCAGACACCATGTGAAGGACTCTGATTGTATCTTTGAGCTTATTCTTTCAGTCCCTGTCTTCAGCTCATTGCCACAGGTGAGACTGGAAAGGAATCAACCAGCTAACTGGGTTTGGAGAAAAAAAAGTTTATTTCATAATCTGTTTTCTTGGATTCAGACAACGTCCATGCTGCAGACCTGAAACGCCCTGAAACATGCTGGTTTTAAAGGGTTGACTGTAAACTTTCCAGCCAATAATTAGGGACTTGGACTTGGAGGAGCCAGTTTTCCTCCTTGCTGTGTCAGCTACAAACCAGCTCAGCAGGACCTGGATGTCCAGAAGGACCAGAAGACTCCAGGAAGCTTTAACAATTCCAGCTGAACAGCCAGTTTGGTGCAAACCACACTGGAAGGTCAAGTTTGACTGCAGCGTGTCTGCAGGTTGAATTTCTGTGAGACGTTCGAGGCATCCTCTAATCTAGAGCTGTGTGTGTGTGCGCGCGAGAGATTTTGCGTTGCCCAGATTTGCATGCTGGCTCTCATGCTGCACTCACGTGTCTGCAGAATGCCGAGTCACAGCGATCAGTGACACTGCTAATACACTTAAAAGGGATCAATGCTGCAGGGCGAGGTGCGTGCATGGAGACCCATGGAGCTCTGTACATGACATTCGGCACCACTGGATGTCGCACGAGAACACAGGTGTGACAGCCACACCTCCTCCCCTCCTTTTCCTTCATGTTCTCAGGTGTAGTGAAGCACAGACGAGATAAAGGAAGTTACCTGTTTGTGCTGAGAGACCAGGCAAGCAAGCAAGCAAGAGGATGTTGCGGGCGCCTCTCCTTTCAGATACAGAGCTCTGCTAATATAAACTGAAATGGCTGTATGGTGCTCAGCTTGACTAGGATCAGTTTCTAAACCAAACAATCATCATTCCTCAACCTAAAGCTCAAACACAACCCAGTCAGGGGCACGGCACAGTGGGCCATAACTTTGTTAATTTCCTGTAGACTCCTTCAAAGTAAAAGCTGTCTTTAACATCATTAATCTGTGCCAGTCCAGACCTCAGTGACCTCTAGCTGTCGTTGTGATGAGAAGCCAGACTGCCCACGGAGTTCCTAGTCCTCGATGTCTGATGTGTGTATCGCGATCTACCCGGCGATCGCAAAGGTAGCGTGGGTAGATCGCATGGCATTTAATAAAAAATTGACATCAACCAAGTAAGAAGCCAAAAACCTCCCATCTCCATACAGAATGGGTGGAGGACTTTTTTTTCGTAATGTCACATTTAAAGTGCGTTTACCCTCATCTGCCAGTCTACCACTGCTATTCCAAAGAAGCGAAGTGTGGAGCGGCAATTTTGGACTGTTCACTGAAATTTCACCGGTAGATTCTACTGTATCAAATTCTACCGTTCCACCGTGAAGGTGATCATTTGGAGGTGGGCCTGACAGCAGCTGCTATCTGGACTATCCCACAAGGTTGAAACGCTACATCCAGATGAGCAGAATCAACCTTTTGGGATTTACTTACCTGGATGATTGAGCGTGCATCGAGATATCCGGATTATGCATCCCATTCAGTCCAAGTCATCAGAGTAAGGTAATAACCAAAAATGTATTGTGCAATATGGGTTCATACAGTTATGCAAGATACATCAACATGTATTGCAAAAATAAAGAATACTCAATGTTTTATAAATGTTTTACATTTTTATAGCAGGTAGATCATTTTCACTTATATTTTTATAACTAGCTCGCATGCTGAAAAAGTGCGCACGCCTCTGGTGTAAGCCGTTCGATGCTTAATCACAGGCAGGTCAGAGAAATATCACAGTAACGTGAATTTGGTACAAACAGTGAGCCGAGATTAGTTCGAGAGGGCAGGTTGAACGCTTCGCTGACTCACTGTACCATCATGGGGCGATCGTGGCCCAAGAGTTGGGCGTTCGCCTTGTAATCGGAAGGTTCCCGGTTCGAGCCCCGGCTCCGACAGTCTCGGTCGTTGTGTCCTTGGGCAAGACACTTCACCCGTTGCCTACTGGTGGTGGTCAGAGGGCCCGGTGGCGCCAGTGTCCGGCAGCCTCGCCTCTGTCAGTGCGCCCCTGGGCAGCTGTGGCTACAATGTAGCTGCCATCACCAGTGTGTGAATGGGTGGATGACTGGATGTGTAAAGTGCTTTTGGGGTCCTTAGGACCAAGTAAAGCGCTATACAAATACAGGCCATTTACCATCTTGCGGTTAGAAGTAGTATTACTCGCAGAGAACCTTATTTGATCTTTAATTGATATCACTCTCTGAGGGGCTGATTACTGATATAGCTTCAATTAAGGCATCCTTAAATTATGTTTTTAAACCAGGAACTCTTTGAACACTTATGTTCAGGTGTTCAGCTATATTTTTGTCACACTCTGCCTGTTTTTGCCTGCACGAGTGTTTCTTCCTCCAGAGACGGATTTTCATCTGTGTGTGTCTGTGTGTGTGGTTTCTTATGAATGACTCCACTGATAATATACTTTTATCTGCGTGACTTTCCAGCTTCTGTGTGTGTGTGTGTGTGTGTGTGTGTGTGTGTGTGTGTGTGTGTGCGCGCTTTGCTGGTGATCCAGTTAATGAAAGTGCTCCATCTGTTCGCAGCGCCGGCAGGCCTGCAGCTGAGACAATGATGATTATGATATCCGCTCATTAAGAAAAAGAGAAGAAAATTTTAAACTTCCTTCACTGAAACCACAAGACGACCAAAACAACCACTGCACTGTAGTTAAGTTTCAAATTGAAGCCAAAAGCGCGGGGGACTGAATTTTTTCTTCACACTAAGAACAAAATATTCCTGGAAGATCTATTGAGGTTTTACACACTCGCACAAATCTCATTTCTTTAGCTTCTTTGTGAGTAGCAGCAGCATTTTTTTTGAAACCACATCAATAAGCTGGATTCCCATTTTAAATCTGCACATTGTCTGATAGAGATAGCATGTGTTTGGATGGACAAGGCCTGTTTTTCAGCCTCTGCGCGTGGAAACGGGACGGAGGTTCAGGGAG